AAAGATTGTGAAATAATGACCACAGATAATTAATACATCTTGATGTATTTTTGAATTTGGTTTGCTAATATTTTGTTGAGTATTTTTGCATCTATTTTCATCAGGGATATTGGTCTATAGTTTTCTTTTTTTGTGATGTCTTTGCCTGGTTTTGGTATTTGAGGGATGCTGGCTTCATTGAATGTGTTTGGTAGTATTCCCTCCTCTTCTACTGTTTGGAAAAACTTAAGGATAATGCATATTATATCTTCTCTAAACGTCTGATAAAATTCAGTGGTGAATCCATCTGGCCTGGGGGTTTGTTCTTGGGTAGTTTTTTGATTACTGATTCAATTTCTTTGCTGCTAATTGGTTAGTTTAGATTTGCTGTTTCTTCCTTCATCAGTCTTGGAAGGTTGTATTTGTCTAGAAAGTTCTCCATTTCTTTAAGGTTATCCAACTGGTTAGCATATAGATTTTCATAGTATTCTCTAATAATTCTTTGTATTTCTGTGGTGTCCATCATGATTTTTCTGTTCTCATTTCTCATTTTGTTTATGTGTGTAGATTCTCGTTTTCTCTTAATAAGTCTGTCTAGGGGTTTATCTATTTTGTACATTTTCTCAAAGAACCAACTCTTGGTTTCATTGATTTTTTTTCTATTGTTTAATTGTTTTCAATTTTATTTATTTCTCTGATTTTTATGTCCCTCGTTCTGCTGACTTTGGGCCTCAATTGTTCTTTTTTTTTCCAGTTTCAATAATTGTGACTCCATACTATTCATTTGGGATTGCTCCTCCTTCTTTAAATAGGCCTGAATTGCTGTATACTTTCCTCTTAGAACTGCCTTTGCTGCGTCCTACAGACATTGGGGCGTTGTGCTGTTGTTATCATTTGTCTACATATATTGCTTCATCTCTGTTTTAATTTGGTCATTGATCCATTGATTTCTCAGGAGCACGTTGTTAATCATCCATGTGTTTGTGAGCCTTTTTGTTTTCTCTGTGCAATTAATTTCTAGTTTTATGACTTTGTGGTCTGAGAAGTTGGTTGGTAGAATTTCAGTCTTTTTGAATTTACTGAGGCTCTTTTTGTGGCCTAGTATGTGGTCTGTTCTGGAGAATGTTCCATGTTCACTTGAGAAGAATGTGTATCCTGTTGCTTTTGCATGTAGAGTTCTGTAGATGTCTGTTAGGTCCATATGTTCTAGTGTGTTGTTCAGTGCCTCAGTGTCCTTATTTATTTTCTGTCTTGTTGATATGTCCTTTGGAGTGAGTGGTGTGTTGAAGTCTCCTAGAACGAATGCATTGCATTCTATTTCCTCCTCTAATTCTGTTAGTATTAGTTTCACATATGTTGGTGTTCCTGTATTGGGCGCATATATATTTATAATGGTTATATCCTCTTGTTGGGCTGACCACTTTATCATTATGTAATGTCCTTCTTTATGTCTTGTTACTTTCTTTGTTTTGAAGTCTATTTTGTCTGATACCAGTACTGCTACACCTGCGTTTTTCTCCCCATTGTTTGTATGAAATATATTTTCCATCCCTTGACTTTTAGTCTGTGTATGTCTTTGGGTTTGAGGTGAGTCTCTTGTAAGCAGCATATAGATTGGTCTTGCTTTTTTATCCATTATGTTACTCTGTGTCTTTTGATTGGTGCATTCAGTCCCTTTACATTTAGGGTGATTATCGATAGGTATGTACTTATTGCCACTGCAGGCTTTGGGTTCATGTTTACCAAAGGTTCAAGGGTAGCTTCTTTACTATCTAACTGTCTAACTTTCACTCATTTATTATGCTATTATAAACACAGTCTGATGATTTTTTATTACTCTCCCCTCTTCTTTCTCCACCACTCTTTATATGTCACATGTTTTATTCTGTACTCTTTTGTGTTTCCCTTGACTGCTTTTGTGGATAGCTAATATTATTTGTTGCCTTTAGTTAGTATTTGGTTGTCCTGCTTTCTTTGCTGGGATTTTATTTTCTCTGGTGACAGCTATTTAGCCTTAGGCACACTTCCATCTAGAGCAGTCCATTTAAAATACCCTGTAGAGGTGGTTTGTGGGAGGCAAATTCCCTCAACTTTTGCTTATGTGGAAATTGTTTAATACCTCCTTCAAATTTGAATGTTAATCTTGATGGATACAGTATTCTTGGTTCAAAGCCCTTCTGTTTCATTGCATTAAATATATCATGCCATTCTCTTCTGGCCTGTAAGGTTTCTGTTGAGAAGTCTGATGATAGCCTGATGGGTTTCCTTTGTAAGTGATCTTTTTTCTCTCTCTGGCTGCTTTTAATACCCTGTCGTTGTCTTTGATCTTTACCAGTTTAATTATTATATGTCTTGGTGTTGTCCTCCTTGGGTCCCTTGTGTTGGGAGATCTGTGGGCTTCCATGGTCTGAGAGACTGGTTCCTTCCACAGCTTGGGGAGGTTTTCAGCAATTATTTCTTCAAGGACACTTTCTATCCCTTTTTCTCTCTCTTCTTCTTCTGGTACCCCTATTGTGTGAATATTTTTCTGTGTGGATTGGTCATACAGTTTTCTTAATATATTTTCATTCCTAGAGATCCTTTTATCTCTCTGTGCCTCAGCTTCTCTGTATTTCTGTTCTCTGATTTCTATTCCATTAACAGTCTCTTGCACCTTATCCAGTCTGCTCTTAAGTCCTTCCATTGACTGTTTCATTTTTGTTACCTCCCTCAGGACTTCATCCCTTAGCTGTAGCATATTTCTCTGCAGGGCCATCAGCATGGTTATGACTTTTATTTTGAATTCTTTCTCAGGAAGATTGGTTATGTCTATCTCACCAGGCCCACTCTCTGGCATTGTTTGAGTGACTTTTGACTGTATCAGGTTCTTCTGCGTTTTCATGGTGATAGAAGTGATTGCCAGCAAGTGGCACATCTGTCAGCTGGGAGACCAATGTCCCTTCCTGCTTGCTGGTTGCCTTGCCCTTCTTCGCTGCCTGTGCCGGTTACCCACACACAGAGAGCAGTCTCTGGGTTAATTCCCTGAGCTGTCGTGTGGAGGCCAGCTTTCGGGATGCCTAGGGCACTGCTGGGCATTGCAGGTTTGTGGCATATGTTCTCCTGTGAGCCTTCCAGACTTTGCACCAGCTTCCTCTGTCTGTGCCACACAGCTGTGGGCTGGCTCCAGCCTCTGGATCTGGACCAGTTAACTGTGCACTGGGAGAAGACTCTGTGTGATTGCTGTGGCTGGGGCAGCTCCTTGGTTGGTCCACAGCAATGGCAGATGAGCCAGTTGGCTTGCAGTGCTGGTGGGGGCTGAATGAACGGCAGGCTGCTTATCACCGTGAGGGGCTTCAGAGCTTTGTTGCCACCCACAGGGTTTGGGCACCTGAAGTTCCTTAAGATTCCTAGCCTGCTGGGCTAAGTGTGCCAGAATGATTTTGTCCATCTGTTAAACACTTGTCCCTTTAAGACTTTTAAAGCACCGGCTTTTCTTTTTTCCCAGGGGAGCTGGCTGTGGGGACTCACTCACAGTCTCCATCTCAGATTTTACTTTTCCATTTCTCTAATATCCAGTACACCATGCAATGTGTGTCTGTGCTCCCAGGGCAGATTATGAGGGGTAGTTGTTTAGCAGTCCTGTGCTTCCACTCCCTCCCCACTCTGATTATTTTCCTCCCACCAGTGAGCTGGGGTGGGGGAAGTGCTCAGGACCCGCCAGGTCACGGCTTTGTATCTAACCCTTTTCGTGAAATGCTGAGTTCTCACAGATGTAGATGTAGCCTGGCTGTCGTTCTGTATCTTCTGGTCTCTTTTAGGAATAGTTGTATTTGCTGTATTTTCAAAATATATATGGTTTTGGGAGATTTCCGCTGCCCTACTCACGCCATCTTTAGCACCTGCTCATATTCTGTGCAATTTTCACTTGTTTTATTTTAGATAATTTCTCCCAATGTTTTCACATTTAGTAGCATTTTCTTCTGCAAGTACATATTCTTTTGTGAATCCCATACAATGTAAATTTCATTTTTAGTGGTCCACTGTATATCTTTATATCGTCCACTTTTCTCCTCATGCTATTCACAATTTTAACTTCTTGAGTATACATTGTTATTTAATAGATGCACCTTTGCCTATTTATTTATCTGTCATTTCTTGGTGGGTTTCTACCAATTTATTTTTCTCTTCATTATTGGCCATATCTGCCTGCTTCATTGAATGCCTACTGTATTGAATTCCATGTATTTTCATTTTACATACTTGAGTTTTGTATTTTTGGGTATCATTGTATTTTGGGGTTTTGTTCTAAGATGAAGTTAAGTTATTGGAAACAGTTTAATACTTTAAAATTTTGCTTTTAAACTCTGTTAGAAAAACCTGCAGTCTAGGACTAATGTCATCCCATTACTAAGGCACAACTACTCTTCTGTAGCCTTTGCCTGATGTCCCTGTATTAGGACGTTTTTCCACTCTGGTTAGTGGAACTTAAGCTGTTCCCTTTGCTATGTGTGAGCTCTAGGGATTTCTTGACTATTTCTTTCCAGTGATTCTTTCCCCAGTCTTGGTACCTTTTTCACATACTTACACTGATCAGTACCTACCCAACTACTTGGGGGGAAACCCTCGACAGATATCCTGACCTCTTTCTATGTAGCTCTTTACTGTTTATTCTGTCCTATTGACTCTGGCTTCCTTGGCACACCTTTACTTGAAATTACGTCACCTCAACTTAGTGAGACAGAAAAGATGTATTTGGCTTCCCTTTCCCTATCCTGTAACAAGAAAATCTCCAGGCAGCAAGCTAGGCACTTTTAGGGCTTATGCCATTTGCTTCCCTCCCCTGGGATCACTGTCTAGTGCTGCCAGTGGTCCATCTTTAGCAGAAGTACCTCCCTCTATCTTTGTACATGGAAAGGGGATTTTCTTTTTAGAAAGAGTTATTCAGAGATAAATTAATTTAATAAGGACACTCAAACTAGGAGTGACTAAAAAGGAATGAAAGTTATTTTCTTGTGCAGCTTTTAAACTGTTTTTCTTTATAGGTACAGAACACAATATCCAATCCTAGGCCTCCTGTATGATGACTATGAATATATACCACCAGGTAGTGACACAGAAACTATTGTGATTGAGAAGACAGAAGACAAATGGACTTGTGTATGTTCATTTGGGCATTTGTAGCCCTAATATCATATATATTCTATGCATACCTTCAAAATTTGTGGTAAAATATCAAAATGAACTAAGATCTTTACAGAGTTTTTTCTCTTAAGACTTTTCCATGTTTCTCTATTACACAGTAGGATTTAACTAACTTTGGAATGATTGATACATGGGTAATATAATTGATTGTCTAGATTATAATAAATTAGATATAATTTTACCCCAAAGAGGAAGATAGTAAGCATTGACAATATACTAACTTTGTTTCTTTGCATATCTTAGGAGTTATTGAATGGATTCCACTCATTTTTTTTAAATTCATTTTTCTAAAGCAGGTAGAAAATGTCACAATTATTAAGTGGAATGGAGGATGGAGAGGAGGCATATTTTAATAGAATTTGTCTTGCATTCTTGAATGTGGTACTTATTTCTCTAAATTAAAATTTTTTAGAAGTTTGAAAAAGAAGATGTGTGTATTTCTCACTAAATTCTAAGATCCTCTAGCTTTAAGTCCCACAGTTAAGGTGAATCTGAAGAGTACTTTAAAAGTCATGTACTCTAATCTACCTTATACAATATCCCCCAAGATCACCAGGGTACATGGACCTTAGCATATTTCTCAGTAGTCCAATACATTGCTAAGGGGGGCTGATTACTAAAACTCTCTTCTTATAAAGAACTGAAAGCTACTTTCCTAAAACTTTTACTTATTGATCTAGCACCCTTTAAAGTAGTGAACATCAAACTGACAATATAATTTCACTAGGACAATGGTTCTCTACTAGGGCAATTTAGCCCCCTTGAACATTTAGTAATGTCTGGAGACATTTTTGTTTTTCACAGCTGAGGATTGAGTACTATTAACATCTGGTGGGTAAAGGCCAGGGATGCTGCTAAACATCCTAGAATGTACTAGACAGTTCCTCACAAAAATGAATTATCCAGCCCCAAACGCTAATATAGCTGAGGTTGAGAAACCCTGCTAACACAATAGAATGGCCTTGGGGTCTTTTTCCCCCTAATTAGATACTTCTACAGTACTTCCAAGAGAGACTCACAGTACAGTATTGGCAGTGATGGGAATGTATGCTATCCCTCAGGTGCAAGAGACAGAAAAAAGATTGAGAATCCCAGCTCTAAAACCATACAGAATCTGACTGAAACACTGTGGAAATAAGAGCCTTTGTATTGTTATGTTAAAAACTGCTTAGATACTAAAATCAGATAAAACTATGGTTATTAAAGTCAGGAAATGGTGATTCTTGAGGGTGGGTACTGATCTGAAGGAAGCAGAAGGACTACTGGAGTATTATTAATAATGTGCTGTTTCTTGATCTGGGTGATAATAGCATATGTGTGCTCATTTGGGGGAAATTCAGTTAGTTGTACACTTATGTGTACTTTCTCTACATGTTTATTGTACTTCAGTTAAGTCTTCAATGCTTAAGTATACCATGATGAGCAACAGATAAGGAAACAAATGTCAATCAACTATTCTGAGAACTTTTTGAAGAAATTTTTACAGCGCAGTTATAGTAAATAAAATACTGCAGATGTATGGTTAATAATAAGCATCTGTTAAATAACTCACTTTAAAAAGTTATCTTTTGGTTGAACAAGCTCAAATATCTGAGTAAATACAAATTTCAGAAAGATTTTACCTCTGAAACCCTTCTGTAACTACAAATCATCAATCCTGTATATATGGTTGTCTGCCATCAGTGGAGCAAACAACATTAGTAACCCTCAAATAATCATAATTTCAGCTTTGCCATATGCTGTGTTTCTAGGTTATTAATTAGCTGAGAATTACTTATTACTAAAATATTCACTGATAAAGAGTACTTGATGGCCCAAGAACCAGATAAGCAGCAAGGGAGTCAGCATAGGATTTAAAATGTGTCACTCGGGATTATCTGATGCTGAAATTTCAGACGAGAAGTAATTCTGCTACAAACATGTGCCCCAGAGGTGGCATCAATATAAGGACCTGACAATAAAGGGTCTACAGAATAGTAGTCATTACTTCCCTCTGCAATAAAAATGTGCAGCAATAAATATCCAAATTGATATCTGAAGGGATTTGATACTGAAAGCAGTTCTAAACATATTTAAGTAAGTTGACAGATTATAGGTCTATAATTATTAATAATGAAAGAAACTTGGACATATTTAACCTCTAAATATGAAAATAAGGAGGAAATCTACTCAATCCTCAATCTCTCCTTTTTAAAGTCATTTGAAACATATCTTGACTGAAGTTAGATCACTGTTTCATTGAATATACACATAAGAGTAACACAAAAATTCAGTAAATTTCCTTTGGTGTTAAATTAATCAATTTAAATCATTTTTTCATAAATGTGCATATGATAACAATGTCTTAAATTATGAGCCAGCTGTAAACTAACTTTTTTTTCTTTTCTAGCCATGAATGAATTTCCAACTCAAAGAAGTTTTTTGTGTCTGCATTAGCACTTTATTTTTCCATAACTAAAGGCCAATCAAAATTTTGAACCATGCTTCCAGGAAATCTAATGTGATGAATTACTTCTGCAGATGAGTTTCTCCAGACATTTATGAGACCTGAATTTTTCTATCACATTTTTATATTCAATAGCAAGACACCACTTGTTTAAATTTCAATTGCAGACACTGTATGACATAATCCATTATTTTTCAAGAGGGTGCTTCCTAGCCACATTTTACAGGTTATTCCATCAGATTTTCTCTGATATTAGATTTTACAGGTTTTCTCTGATATTAGATGTGTAATTAAGCTTCAAGAGTACTATTTCTGACAAAACAGGCAAAAGACTAATGAATTTCAGAAAATCTTTAAGTAGTGCATGGTATATACAGCATGTTTGCTTTTCTCACATTAAACTTATGGCTAAAAGAGATGCTTTATAACATGCTATTATACTTCTTGGAGAGATAATTAAATCAAAGGTGATGGTTAATTTTATTTAGGGAAGTGGGATAATATCTTTTTAAATAGCTAAATTTAGTAAATCACATATGCTATTATGTTCCTAAGTACATATCACTAGGTTGGCAAATCTATTCTTTCAAATCGTATCATCCCTGAATGAGCCACCCACTTCCTTAAAAACATGCAATACCCCATTGTAGTAGTGGGTGGAAGAAAGGAAGCTTTTTTATAGTAGTATAGAAAACATAATACTTGAACAGTGCAGAAAGGCTTAGGGAATAAAAATAGCAACAACTAATATTTGATATCTGTATCGTACTTGGGAGAAAGGGATTTTATAGTAAAGTATTTAATGTACTTTGAATTTGGCTCATTAATTGGGTTCTAATGATTCTACAAAGTGAACAAAAGTATTTTATAAACACTAGTAAATAAGAATGAAATCTCTTAATTTCAACCACTTAATTTCAAATTAAGAATTAGCAAAAATTAAATGTCTGCATTTGACAAAGTATAGACTAAGGTAACAAATATATTTTAGGATACATGTGAATGAGGCTTTGCACTGAAATATCTGCAAATATCCATATAGAATATTCTCATGCTTTATAATAATTATTCATTATATTAAGAAACTATTAAGATAGGGACAGATAAGGCATTACACTACAACCATAAGGTAGGAGAAAATGCTTTTATAAAAATTTTCAAATACATCTTGACATGAAGCTTAAAGCCATAATCATACTTGGACTGAAATGTTAAGCTCTATAATGTCAATTGTTACAATTCCTATTTCATCAATATTTTATAATATAAGATGTTTATATTCTTCAGAAACTTGATCCATGCATAGATCACTTGATCCATGCATAGTGAACTGGGATAACAAGGTACTTATTTTACTTAACAAATTTAAATGTATGTATTGATTTTCCAATTTGTGATTAAGATCAATAGAAACAGTAGTGATGTTTTTCCCGGAGTTTCATACAGCTTACCTCTGAAAATGGCAAAGATGTTGTCAAGTGAGGAATGTCTGTTTATCTAATTTCTATTCCAGTATGTTTTCCTTTAGATGTCAAAATAAATGGATACTGCAATGACATGAAAAAATTTGTTTAAGTGTCTAAATAAAATATGTTAAGAATCTGTATGGTCTTTGTGTAAGTCTTATTAGAAAACATGCAGCGTAGATTTTTAACTTAGTTATATACTTTTGCCAGAATGTTATTGTCATGTGAATGCTTATGGTAGAGGTAACAAGCACCAGTCTAATTAAAAAAACAAACAAACTTCTTGATGTGGAGCACCAGAGACACCACCTTACCACAGTTGATTGGATGCAGGTTTCTACTTTTAAATGAGAATTTCTTTGCTTACAAATCTAGTCTTCTAAGTTCTGTAACTCAGCTTGAATCAAATGTAAGTCCATAAAGGATTCTTCCCACAGTAGTTATGGTATTCTTAACTGCAAGGATATAACCATTATAAATATCTGTATACCCAACATAAGACCACCTTAATATGTAAAACAAATACTAACAGAATTGAAGGGGGAAATAGATTGTAACATATACATTTTACAAGACTTTAATGCAACACTCACATCAGATCAACCAGACAAAATAAATAAGGCAACAGGCACTAAACAATAATATATTAGATTAGATAAACTTAACAGATATCTAGAGAACATTCCATCCAGCAAGAGCAGGATACACACTTTTCTCAAGTGCTCATGAAACATTCTGCAGGCCACACAAAAAGCCTCAATTAATTTGAAAAAATTGAAATTGTATCAAACAACTTCTCAGACCACAATGGTATGAAACCAGAAATACATTACACAAAGAAAACAAAAAGCCTACAAATACATAGACTCTGAAGAACACACTTCTAAATAATCAATGGATCAATGAAAAAAATCATTGAAGTCAAAACAGAAATCAATAAATACATGGAGGCAAATGAAAACAAAAATTCAACAGTCCAAAGTTTGTGGAACACCACAAAAGCAGTTCTAAGATGGAAGTATATAGCAGTACAGGCCTATCTCAACAAAGAGAAATTCCAAATAAACAGTCTAAACTCACAAAGAAACTAGAAAAAGAAGCACAAATGACACCCAGTTAGTAGAAGGAGGTACATAATAAATATCAGAGCAGAAATAAATGAAATTGAGAACAAAACAATAGAAAAAAATCAATGAAACTAAGTGCTATTTCTTTGAGAAAATAAAATATATAAACCCAAAGCCAGACTTAATCAAGAAAAGGAGGACACAAATAAAATCAGAAATTAAAAAAGAATAGTCACAATGGATACCACAGAAATACAATGAGTTAGACAATACTATGAAAAATGAAATGCTCATAAATTGTACAAACTAAAGAAATGGACAAATACCTAAAAATACAACCTTCCAAGACTAACCCAGGAAGAAACAGAACATCTGAACAGACCAATTACCAGCAATGAAATTGAACTGGTAATCAAAAAATTCCCTAAAAACAAAATTTCCATACCAGATGGCTTCAAAGCTGAATTCTACCAAACATTTAAAGAGGAGAGAATATTCATACCTTCTTAAAGTATTCCAAAAAGTAGAAAAGGAGGGAATACTTCTAAACTCATTCTATGAGGCCAGCACAAACTCTAATACCAAAACCAGTCAAAGAAATGACAAAAACAGAAAATTACAGACCAACACCTCTGATGAACATAGATGCAAAAATCCTCAACAAAATATTAGCCAACCAAATAAAAAAATACATGGAAGTCATCCAACATGACCAAGTGGGTTTTATTATAGGGATGCAAGGATTGTTTAATATCCGTAAATCAAAAAACATCATACACCACATCAACAAAAAGGACAAAAATCACATGATCATCCCAATAGATGCTGAAAAAGCATTTGACAAAATTCAACATCCGTTCATGATAAAAACTCTCAACAAAATGGGTATAGAGGGCACACACCTCCACATAATAAAGGCCATATACAACAAACCCACAGCTAAAATAATACTGAATGGTAAAAAGCTGAAAGCTTTGTCTCTAAGATCAAGAAAAGACAAGGATGTCTACTCTCACCACTCTTATTCAACTGGAGGTACTGGAGGTCCTAGCAATGGCAAACAGACAAGGCGAAGAGATAAAAGGTGTCCAAATTGGTAAGAAAGAAGTTAAACTGTCACTATTTTCAGAAGACATATAATATATAGAAAACCTAAAGACTCCTCCTAAAAACTATTAGAATAACTGGATTCAGCAAAGATGCAGAATACAAAATTAATATAAAGTAATCTACTGTATTCTTATTTAGCTATCAGAAAGAGAAATAAGAAAATAATTCCATCTACAATTACATCAAAAAGAGTAGAATACCTAGGAATAAAGCTAACCAAGGTAATGAAAGACTTGTGCTCTAAAAACTGTAAGACACTCATGAGAGAATTTAAGACACACATGCATGGAAATCTATCCCATGCTCATGGGTAGGAAGAATTAATATTGTCAAAATGGTCATCCTGCCCAAAGCAATGTATAGATTCAAAGCAATTCCTGTCAAAATACCATTGTTCTTCAATGAACTCAATCCTGAGGAGAACAAAGCTGGGGTTATTATGCTTCCTAACTTCAAGGTGTACTACAAAGCTATAGTAATCAAAACAGTATGGCACTGGCATAAGAACAAACTCATAGATCAATGCAACAGAACAGAGATCCCAGATATAAAGCCACCCATTTATAGTTAATTAATATATGATAAAGGAGCCATGACTATACAATGGGGAAAAGCCAGTCTCCTCAATAACTGTTGTTGGGAAAACTGGGCAGTTTCCCAATGCAAGAGAATGAAACTGGATTAGCAACTCCATACATACACAAAAGTAAACTTGAAGTGGATCAAAGACCTGAATGTAAGACATGAAATCATAAAACTCTTAGAAGAAAGCATATGTAAAAATCTTTTGAACATTAAGTTTAAGCAATTTTTTCCTCAACACAGCTCCTCAGGCAAAGGAAACAAAATAAAAAATGAACAAGTGGGAAGTATAACTAAAAAGTTATACAGCAAAGGACACCATCAACAGAATAAAAGGGCAACCTGCAGTTTGGGAGAATATATTTGTAAATTATTCATCTGATAAGGGGTTAACATCCAAAATATATAAAGAACTCATGACTCAACAACAAAAAAACCTCACATAACCCAATTAAAAAATGGGTGGAGGACCAGAGCTGACATTTATTTCTCCATAGAATACAGATGGCCAACAGGCACATGAAAAGATACTTCACATCACTAATCATCAGGGAAATGCAAATTAAAGCCACAATGAAGTATCACCTCACACCAGTTAGAATGGCCACCATCTTAAAGACAAGAAATAAGTGTTGTGAGGATGTGGAGAAATGGGAACACTCCTATACTGTTGGTAGAATGTAAGTTGGTACAACTGCTGTGGAAAGCAGTATGGAATTTCTTCAAAAAACTAAAAATAGAAATACCATTTGACCCAGTAATTCTATTAGGAATTTATCCAAAGAAAACAAAATCTCTGATTTGAAAAGATATATGCACCCTTATATGTATCACTGCATTATTTACAATAGTTAAGATATGGAAGCAACCTAAGTGGCCATCAATAGATGAATGGATAAAGGTGTGGTACATATACACAATAGAATATTATTCAGCCATAAAAACATGGATTTGTGACAACAAGGATGGACCTAGAAAGTACTATGCTAAGTGAAATAATCCAGGTGGAGAAAGAAAAATCCTTATGATTTCAATTATTTGGGTAACATAAAAATGAAACAAAACAAAATGAAGAAAATAGCAGTAGACTCATAGACACTGAAAAGTGACTGGTGGTTACCACTGGGGAGAGGTTGGGTGAATGGGTGAGAAGCATGAGGGGGATTAAGGGGGCACAAAAATTCTTATAAAAGTTGGTCACAGGTATGGCATTACAGCATGGAGAATATAGCCAATGATTCTATAACATCTTTTATGTTGATAGGTAGTTAACTGCACTAGTGGGAGTGAGGATGTACTAACATGGTAATTGTTGAACCACTGTTCTGTATATTTGAAACCAGTATGACTGTATATAAACAATATTACAATTTTAAAAAAGTTACATCTGTCTTTATAAAACCTGTAATATTAGTGACCAAATAAGACATACCTCTTTTGGGTCTATAAAGGGGTACTGAAATTGTTACATAATTCCATGATAGTCAGACATTCTTGGTAATATTGGACTGGTCTTGTTGGCAAGATATTGTTAAATGCAGGTTCTTTGGTTTTCCATTCCATTACATTAAATAAATTTTGTTCTTAAAAGTTTATGTTTCAGAGATTCTTTATATCACAGTACAGCCTTTGCAATATAATTCTTTAATTCAGTAACTGGTTTACTAACACAATCTGTGAATAGTCCCAGCTCATGTGAGAAAATACAATGATTCAGACCAATTTCTTAAAATGGTAGAATATATATATAGGCTTTTTGAGGTTGTTCCCTTAAGAGGTCTGATGAGCAAACCATGTTATTTATGATGGGTAGGTGGGGCTGGGATCTAGGAAAACAGGCTTTTGGAGTCAAATGGGAGGTGAGTGGGACTCACATAATAGGTTAAATAAGATAGTTTCACTATTGTCAATTGGTCCAGAATTAAAAATGAAGCAGAGTTTCCTTTGGAATAATTACTTGGGTAATGCTGAAAGAGAAAGGTATAGCAACTGAAACAAGGCAAGTGGAAACATTTTGTTTGTGAAAACTAGTGCTAGTACCTTGGCCCTGAAAATTATGCAAGGTCTTCTGTGGAGCCTCGAGACTGCCAATAATAGCCAGTTCTTATCTAAGATCCAAAGTTCTAACAGATCTTTCTTAACCAGTATCAAATTTACAAGCTAATTCTTTTGGAAGGTCAGAATGGAGCTGAACAAAGTTGGGAAGATTCTCTAACCAATGATACCCTGGGGTTCTATTTTTGCATTTTCTTTAAATGATGTCTTCTTAGTTCTGAAACCCTTAATGGATAGAACTTCAAATATAGCCATTTTTTTCTTGAATTCTTATAAGGGAAAAATAGATTCAGACAAGCCTTTTTTTCTGCTATCATAGGAGGT